ATCAGATACAAATTCTTTTTATTCTCTCTTTTATATAATAGATGAAATTTTCTCCATGTTTACTAATGATGATTTAAAAAATGATGACTTTGATTATAGCAATTGATTGAAGGATCACTAATATTAAACCGCATGAGTTTCCTGTTTAAACATTATATTCGACTCAAGCTGTGTAGAGAAAAAGTTTGGAGATGGATCAAGCTCTCTTATTCAAAATAATGCGAAGATGGATTAGAGTTTATAGACGAAGATTTTGCAGGGCTAATCTTACACAGTATTACATCTTTAACTTACATAATTCTCTTAATTCTGTTGAAATGGTCATAGCTGAATGTAGAAACACACTTTAGAATGAAAAATAGGTTTACAAAATGTTTTCTGTAGTAATGAACAATACTTTTTAGACACTAAACTTGATCTTAAATTTTGTTTAAAACATTTTGTTGAAAATATACTTTTTAAAGTGTCAAAAATTGGATAAAGGCTGTGCTACATTATTCGGTAACTCGATAGGTTACTTCAGTCATCAAGTGGACTTTTGGATTATGAAATTTTCAATAGCCTCCGCCTTTTGTCCGTTCAACCGAATGTCTCCAACCGTAGACAGTACTATAAAAACGATTGTAATTATAGTCGGAGAATGAGCCAAACTCAAAATTTTGGCTTATTTTTGCCTATTTAAGAGAGTTTTGAGGTCAAAATTTGTTAAAGAAACTATCGTGAAAGCTCTGAGCATGTCTCAAACATTCTCCACCTCTCTCTATAAGCCTAAGTTGCATTTATTACTTCAAAGAGTATTGATCACAAAATACACTCTTTGAGTTAACCTTTGATAACCATTTATTGAGTGTTTAGTATGAGGATTCGTGTCATGGTTCGAATTATGATTCATGATTCGCTACAATATTTTCTCTCAAAAAAATATACGTAAACCGAGAAATGTTCTGAGTGAACCAAAAATGTATCGAACCTTTAGCAGGAGAGTTTATTGAGTGAACCAAACTTTTAAAACCATATTAAAGGAGATCATGAAAGATCTTGTCCTTACTCGTTTACATTTTGCTCACTGTTATTTGATTTATGATAATAGCTCTATAGTGCATAATTGCTTAATATTCGTTTTTTTGAGTTTTGCATATTGTGAATTGTGACTATTGAAATTAATTCTTGAAATTGTGTATTTTGTGTTCAATTTCCCTAATAATTGAAAAATATTTTTAAAACTCAATTCACATCCCCTTCTTGAGTAGTAGTCATTTTTGGGCAAACATTGTTCTTAATATTTTGAGAGTTTATCTAGTAAGACAGTCCTATCGGCAGTGTCAATTTCTGATCGTTGGATCATGTTAAAATCACACCAGATTAAAAAAATATGCAGAATAAACAATTTCTGATACGAATTTAACAGTTGAAAATAGAAAACTTCAGTCAATTCTTTTTTTGGTTCTATGAGAGAAGTTAATGAAATTTAAAGTTAACGTGAAAATACCTATTCAAATAAAAAGAGAAGAAAGGTTGGAAATTAAAAATTTGTTTACATAAAAAATGAGAAATTATTTTCAAAAGGTTGCGTGGTACTTCTAAAGATATTTCATTACTTTATTATGATAAGTTTATAAGGAAAAAGATACAAATATTTTTATAGTGTATGAATTTAAATTTTTATTCCTTATTTTTAATTAATATATTTTTAATTAAATAATTACAATAGTCAAAAGGTATTAATGAAGAGTTAAAAAAAATCAAACTCCATACAATCTAGTTGAAAAGATGCTAGGAGGATTAGTGGTTTTTTTTTTTTTTTTTTTTTTTTTTTTTTTTAATTGTATCTAGTTGTTTTGTTTTGTTTTTGTTTTTTTGTTTTTTTGATGCTAGGAGAATTATAAATTCGAATCAGCGAAGTGAACGGACCCTTTTGTTTTTGTAGGAACTTCGTGAAAAACTCTTGAACTTTGAAACTTCTCTATCCGCCAAAACCTCTATAATGGATCTTCTTCTTGCAACTACCCCAGCGACTTGAGCAACTTATTTTTTCACTCTCCATATAATGGTCCAAACGATATTTTGATCGACGACACTCCTACTCGTAATTTTAAACTTTAAACAATGTCCTTTGTCTTTCTAGCATAAAAAAGAACATGATTTTTTATATATCAAAAGATTTTTGAGTTAGGGTAACTTGAGCGATGATCTTGAGTTGAGTTTGACTTATAATTTGAGTTGAAGTTGTAACTTGTATTTGTGTTTGGATGTGCACATTTGAGTTATGATTTGAATTGAAAATCTATTTGAGTTTGTGTTTGTGTGGGTCAAAACTTAAATTTGTCTTTAGATAATATTTTAATAAACACTCAATAGTGATGAAAAATTTTAATAGGGTTGAGATTTTATTCGTCTTTTTGTTGTTAATGCATAGAAAAAAATCATCTCAATCAGAATTAAAACGAAAAAGTTATGACATTTTTAAGAATAGAAAAAATAATGTTCATTAACTTGAGTTTAAATTTATGAACTTAAGTTGAGATGGAAACTTGAACTCGAGTTTAGCTTCAAACTCGAGTTTAAACTCGAGTTCAAATTCAAGTTAAAACTCAAATTTTATAAAAGAACATGAATTTAAATAAAATTATAACTTGAGTTTAAATTTTTTCTGAGTTTCGTTCAAAAAAAACAACCGAAGGAAACTAATGATTCTTTTTAGGGGAACTTTGAATTCTTGTATAATGTATATACATCAGTTATTATCATTTACTGTATTGCTATTTTCAAAACATTGTAATTATAAAAACAACAAAAGTAGAAAAGTTTGATGAAACCATAACAGTTGGCAGGTTGAGAAGTGAACAACTTATTAGGTGACGCTTGGATTTTTAAAATTTAAATTTTTTTTGTAAGAAAAAAATACTATAGTAAAATTAATAATTATGATTTTCACTTTAGGGCTTGTTTAGTTCACTGATTCAAATTGAGATGTGAATTTTTGTGAGAGCTTTTCACTGGAGTAAAAAAGTTAAATGTAATTGTTTTTAAGAACATTTTATTGTAATAAAACTCAAATTCTAAACTTAAATCGGTGAATGAAACGGGATCCTAGTGTTTCTTTCGTTTTATTTTTTTTTTCCGTTAAAGAAGAATAAAATTCCCCAATTCTTCTTTTTCAGTTGTTGACTTTGGTAGGTCTGAGACGTTGAGGTCGCGAAAACAAAACGGTCGGTCCTTGTCAAGACTTTACATGTGGGCTGTGGGCATAAACTGATGAGATACTGCATGGTCTTACTTACGTTAATCAATTAACGATTAATGCAACTTTACCTAATTCCATTTGTAATCAGAACAACGTATTAGAAAGGAATATATATATATATTTTTTAAAGTCGTTTATTTGTTTGACTTTTTCTGAGAAAATGACCCTCCTAATTCCCCCCACTTAATCCACTAATAGCCGTATCCCACGCACTCAGCTGACAGTGCGTTCCAGAAATTCTAAAATACCGGATTTGCCCATCTGGTCTTCCTTCGTGACACACAAAGATAGGACTATAAAAATCCCCTGAATTATAAATGCATAGAAAAATAAAATAAATATACCTTTTTTTTTTCTTTGCTGGAAAAAAATAAAATGTACCTTAAACATCATAAGTTACGTTACTTCTTAGACCGGAGAAAAATGACTTGTCCCAAAAGCGCGTCTCTATGCTTTTTTTTTTTCTTCCCGTTTTTATGATTCTGTCTTTTATTCTTCCACTTTTACATCTTTACTTGTTGTGGGTAGAATAATAGCTTTACTTGGGACCTGGGAGGACCAAACATCGGTTTGTTTCCAGAATATAAGCGAAATATTCCGTTAAATAGCGGATCTAATGCCAAAAAAAAAAAAAGAAAAAAAAAGGAAGAAACCAAACAAAAATAAATTTGCACAAAGAGACTTCTGAGTCCATTTCCCCACGTACAAATTTATATCAAGTTTATGAGAGGTTTTTATTCTTACTCTTGACTCTATTTGGTTAGGAATTGGTGTACATTGCTTTTATGCTCCATCTCATTTTCACATGCTCAATCTCTAGTGGTAAAGGTCATCTCACATTCCTTTATTGAAAAAAAAAAAAAATGAATAAATAAATAAAGAGGAAAAAAATGAGAAATGTGAAAGTTATTATGATTAAGGGTTGGTGAAAACTCATCAAATCAAAGCATACTATATTTTCTGGACAAGTTATTGAAGTCATTTTTAGATCGAACATCAATACTTCTCTACTTGTTTTGTCATTCTCTGTCGTTTTCCAGCTGTTCTGCCATTAGGGTGGGCTGAGAGTTAACCTATAAAAGACACTCTGACGCTTAAGTCAAGTACGTGGTGCTTTTACATTAGTTGCCCTAACATGAGAAAACGTGTGATGTTAAGACTGAACAAACCATGCATCACTGTCCCGTTCTCAATATGTTGAAGTTCTCTGATGACATCGATCTGTTAACTCGAGATTCGCAGTCCTTAACCTTGATCTCAGCTAGAGGTCAATCTCAGACATGTGGCATGCTCCTAATTACCTGGTGGAATATCCCCAATACATATATTTCGTATTATCCTCTTGAATCAATAAACATTAGTGTAAAAATATTACTTATTTGTTAATATATCATTGCTAAGCATCACTATTAATAATATCACCTTCGATGTTCTAATTTATTACGGATCAAGCTGAGACAAATATACAAATTGCACTCAATTTACACCGGTTTAAATCAGTGACATTAATTCTCGAGGAAAAAAAAAAAAACTATGTTGAACTTTCCACTAGAAATTTTATTAAAATGGAAGCTTCATAGTTGATATGCTAAATATGAACGTAAAATGCACAAATTCCAACAATAACACGAACTTGCATAAATATGAACGTAAAATGCACAAATTCCACTAGAAAAAAACACGTACATGTTCTGAAATTTGATATAATATTTTGAACAACCGAAAAATGAGAAAAAGAATGATGGAAATTACAGAAAAGTGTAAAGGAGAAGGCAAAAAGTGGTGAAGAAAAAAGGCCATTCCCTTTGCAAGAAGAAAGAGTGATAGACACACACACCACACCTCACATGAAACGTGAGCTATGCACGCACACACACTCATTGCTGCAACCAAGAAACCAAAAACCAATCTCTCTCTCTCTCTCTCTCTCCTCTCTCTCTCCTCCGAATAAATTTCACAAAATTTCATATATAACAACTCATTTTCCCAAGAAAATCACAGTGAACTAGAAAACCATATCAAAGAAGAACTCTAAAGAAGAAGAATAACATTCATTAATAGATCCAAACAATCACACTCAGATAAAAACTTTGACTCAAGTCTCGATCAGACGGATGTCCACCGTCTGATCCTTTGACCCGAAGTTCCACCATTCGATCTCTCTCTCTCTCTCTGTCTACTTCAATGGGAGCTCGCTGTTCCAAATTCTCTCTCTGCTGGTTCCACTCCCACCTGAAACCTTCCGTTCTGGAAACTTCCGACCTCGGTATGCGCAGTTTCTTCTCTCCATTTTTAGTCTTTGATACTTCAAAGGTCTGTTAATTTTGCGGCCATTGTTGTGCAGAGAATGGAGGCAAGAGTGATCGGGAGTTATGGCCGAGCTTCAGCGAGTTCAGCCTGGAGAACCTCAAAGCCGCCACGAACGGATTCTCGTCGGAGAACATAGTGTCCGAGCACGGAGAGAAAGCTCCCAACGTCGTTTACAAAGGAAAGCTCGAAGGCAGCCGGTGGATCGCCGTCAAGCGATTCAACAAGTTCGCTTGGCCCGATCCTCGTCAATTCCTCGTCCGTCAAACTCGCTCTCTAAGCTTTTCGTTTTGTTATGTTTCTGATGATTTTGAGATTTTGATCATGAAGGTTTAAAGAGTGAATTTTGAATGTGATTTTGTTAGGAGGAAGCGAGGTTGGTGGGGAATCTGAGAAGTGAGCGATTGGCGAATCTGATCGGTAGTTGCTGCGAAGGCGATGAGAGATTGCTCGTCGCCGAGTTTATGCCTCATGAAACTCTTGCCAAGCATCTTTTTCACTGTAAATTACTTTCTGTCTTCTTCTTCTTTCTTTTTTTTTTTTTTGGGTCCTAATTTGTTGTGCTTTTCCCTTTTTGTTTACCTTTTTTTTTTTTTTTTTTTTTTTTTCTGTGGGGTTTTGAAAGTAACTTCTTTAATGAAAATGCATGAGAATGACGACAATTAATTAAAGATCTTACTAAAATTTGATATTTATTTGCCTTGATCACTTAAGTACTTGCTTGATTATCATTTTTTAAGTGCATTTCAGGCTTCCAAACAACCGATATTTAACTGCAAATGACCCTTCCATTCAGTGCCCTGTTGAGAAATTTGCTAAAATGACAATCTAACAAAGTGAAATTGGCAAAATGAAAACCTTCGTTGTTTATAAAAAGTGGTCATTTTACAAATAAAAATTTTTGAAAAGTTATTATACTAATAAAACTTTCATATTGAGTCATTTTCACAAGGGCCTCCCAGTCCTTTTTTTTCCCCCTGCTCTCATTTTTGGAACCTATCTGTTTGATATTCTCTGTGAGAAACCTGTCTCTTTAATCAAATTATTATTGATTTTGACAACTCAGGGGAGGCCCAGCCCATGAAGTGGGCCATGAGATTGAGAGTGGCTTTGTATTTGGCACAAGCACTTGAATATTGCAGCAGTAATGGACGTGCATTGTATCATGATCTCAATGCTTATAGGGTTTTGTTTGATGAGGTAGACTGGTTTCTTTGATGCATTCTTCTGCTTTCAAAAGAATAAAAACTGAAAAAAAAAAAAGGAAAGTTTAATCTATTTTAGTTCAAATTCATTTACGGGCGGCTCGACTGTGATCAGGATGCAAATCCCAGGCTTTCCTGCTTTGGCCTCATGAAGAATAGCAGGGATGGCAAAAGTTACAGTACAAACTTGGCCTTCACGCCTCCAGAGTACCTGAGAACTGGTATATGTTTTTGCTTGAATATAACTGCAACATTATGTTGATTTGGTCGTCAAATACAATTGCAAAGCAAATCAACAGTCTCAATCTAAAAGAGTGCTGCGTGATGTACCTCCTTTGGTACCAAAAATTGACTTTGGTTTTGGAGATTGCTTCACTTATAGTAGTGTTTCATATGGAAATTTTGATGATGACAAATGCATAGTTATGCTTGTCATAGAACTTTTTTGGCAGAGAAATATGGATAGTTATACGAGATCATATGAATTTTGTCAAATAAAATGTGATCTAAACCTTATAGAAGATTGGAATTGTGTCTTTTGTTGGCAGGTAGAGTGACACCAGAAAGTGTGGTGTATAGCTTTGGAACGTTATTGCTGGATCTTCTGAGTGGCAAACATATACCCCCCAGTCATGTGAGTTTCATGCTTTTAACAGATTTTACGTCCACTTAAATTCTAAAATCCCTCCTTAACTGATGCTAGACAAGTAAGTATGGAAATAAGGATTCCTTACTTTCAAGAAGTAGCTTCAACGAGTGTCTGAATTAAGTTTTCATTGGTTAAGGTGTTGTATAAAGATCAGTCAGGATCACTTTTTTGGGCTAATATTGTTTGCAGGCACTTGATTTAATTCGTGGCAAGAATTTCCTGATGCTGATGGATTCGGCTTTAGAGGGTAATTTCTCCAATGATGATGGAACTGAACTTGTGCGGCTAGCTTCCCGCTGTTTACAATACGAAGCACGTGAGAGGCCAAATGCAAAGTCGCTTGTCACTTCTCTCTTGTCACTTCAGAAAGAAGTAGAGGTATGCAGACTGCTTTTGCTAACCAAGTTTTTTAACGTTATGCTTTGTTTAAAGCAAGTATACATCTGAAATAAGCTATAGTTCTCTACTTGTTCTCATAACAATGCGATTATGGTGAGGAGAAAAAGGATGTTTCCTGTTATGTGCTATTATATAATAGTGTTCTATATTTCCATTCGCTGGCGGATATGTTGATTGTCAAGGAGATTTGTTTTTTTTTTTTGTTTTTTTTGTTCTTTTTTTTTTTAACTGCTGAAATTTTACATAATATGAAAGACTGTAATTGCTCATTGGTAGTTATTGCTAGGTTCCGTCGTATGCATTGATGGGTATCCCACATGAAACTGCATCCTCAACTCAGCCATTGTCATTAACACCTTTTGGTGAAGCTTGTGTGAGGATAGATCTCACTGCTATCCATGAAATATTGGAGAAGAACGGATACAAGGATGATGAAGGCATAGCCAATGAGGTTTGCCACTTGTCCTTTATTTTATTATTATTTTTAATTTTCTATTCAGCGTTTCATCAACTCACTCTCTTTTTTATTTTTTAATATTATTATCTTTTTTTTTCGTGTAATCACACATTGCCAGTGCGGTGGGGCTTGCTACTTACTGCCCTCTTCATATGAATAGCAATTGATATGTGAAACCTAAATAGAAGTAACACTGAAGCATGAATAATAAGCTGTACAAAATCTCCGTCTACCAAACTTGGGCTGTAATAACAAACTTGCACCGTCAGTTTGGGTCTTACAAATTAGCCGAAAAAGAAAGGTTGAGAGTTCTAACCGGGAAACATTTTACTCGGGAAAGTCTGGGATTCTATTATTATCTTACTAGGTCCACAAGCTGAACATCCCTTTTCGTTCTTGTTGGCTGATTGTAACAATCTTACTAGCTTCTCTCTGCAATAGTGGGGCTATGCAATATAATTGAATATTGATTTCTTTAGTGGGGGCAGAATTAATACTCTTTTAGTCCCAATTCATTCACTTTCCTTGGACTTGCATACTCAACAATCTGTCCAATATTTTCGTTTCTTTCCTTTCCCCCTTCGTCATCCCTTTTCTCCCTGCTAATTATGTTAGAAAAATTCTTGCCTTTCAGCTTTCTTTTCAAATGTGGACAAATCAAATGCAAGATACTTTGAACTCCAAGAAGCATGGGGATGCTGCTTTTCGAGCTAAGGACTTCGCAACTGCAATAGACTCTTACACACAAGTGAGTCATCTGTGCCATCATCGAGTTAGCTTTCTGCAAGAATTAGGTGGTGTCGTTTTAGAAAATTCGTTTTCGATTCCGTTTAGAAGACTAATGTTTTGTCTTTTTTATTTTTTGGCCTTTTTTTTTATTTGAAGTTTATCGATACCGGGACCATGGTATCACCGACTGTGTATGCCAGGCGTTGTCTTTCTTATCTCATGAGCGACATGCCTCAAGAAGCACTAGGGGATGCAATGCAGGCTCAAGTGGTGTCTCCTGAGTGGCCTACTGCTTTATACCTCCAAGCAGCCTGCCTCTTTAGCCTTGGCATGGATAATGATGCACAGGAAACACTCAAAGATGGGACAAACTTAGAATCTAAAAACAATAAGAATTCATAAGTGTATAGCTTTCTGTTTTTCTACTGACATTTTTCTTTCTGCTCAAATATATGTATCTATTATTTATTTGTTATCATTTTTTTTCCCTTCCCTTTTGCTGGCTGCATTAAAAGGATTATCTTGAAAGATTAATGTTGGTTGGATAAATAACGTTTTTGAAATCTTTTCTTGAATCTGGGGTTTGTTTTGCAGAGAATTGTTCCCTACATTAAGAAAACGAAGGCAACATTATCATAACTTGGCCAAAGTTTCTATTTCCTCGTTCGCTGTTTTAACTTTTAATCCAAATTTACACTACAGGTGGAAAAATTCCGTTGAGACTAGGTGAATCGGGTTCATGTCAAATTGAGGGTTGAAATTAGCAATATCAATATCAACTTAGACATGACCTTAAATGAACGGACACGACATGTAGGCCCACCTCAACCTAACTCGAAAAATACAATTTATAGTATTAAATTTTTTTTTTTTACCCCATTCAATGTCTGACCTGAAATTTTGAAACGGGGTGTGGGTTGGGCCTATAATGGCCCGCACACTCTAATTCAATCCGCGCTCTAACTTACCTCTTCTAATATCTAACCCTAGGCAGACAACTTATTTATACTCTTTAGTTTCTTCATGTTTGAATTAAGTCTCTATGTTTGCTTTATGTTAAGACTAATTTATGATTGCTTTATGTTTGATGTTGGATGGACTACTTTGATTCATGTTTGATGTTAGATTAAACTTTGAATTTCTATCTGTTTGAATATTTGAGTTATTATTTCTATTTGATGATGAAGTTTGAATGTTGGATTGAACTTTGAGTCTTTGATTCTTTGAATGTTGAAACTGACCACTCAACCCACTCCGCACAGCCCCAACCCAACCCAAACATCATTGGGTTGTGAAATTTTTCTAATATCGTTAGGGTCAAATATGTGCAACCCGCACCATTTGAGGTGGAAAAAAAACATTATCCCGCATCAATATGTGCAACCCGCACCATTTGAGGTGAAAAAAAAATATTATCCTGCACCGACCCAACCTATGAACAGCCCTATGTAAAACATGCTTTGAGGAATATTCATGTGAGAAGCAACTAGTGAACCCAAAACGAACCCGTGAAGCAAAAAGAGAAATAACTTTAGAATTTCAATCAAGTTTAACGACCCTTTTAACACTAGTTATCAAAAGCGAAGATATGGAGTGAAATTACATTGGAAATTATCAAACATTCAGTAATAAACATCCACAATATTAAACCACTTTATCTACACATAAGAATTTAAAAGTCCATGACATAGCCAAATGTAAAACAAGTAGAAGTCGCATAACTTCTAGTTCATAACAAAGTCCGTAGGACTATAGATTGTATGACATAATTCAAATTTAAAATATTTAAAAAGGATAGCAAAATATGCTCTTAATATCTTATATTTTTTTGTAATATTAAAATGATACCTTAACACTTTAGAATTTTTTTTTTTTTTTTTTACTTGAGGCAAATTTTAGATGTACAACGACAAAATTACTCTTATAATTAATTTATTCCAGAATTAATTTTTGAAACTACCTAAAAGATTTAAAAAAGTTAAATAAAAAACATTTAGGGCACGTTTACCAAACTGTAAAGGAATGTAATGGAAAAAGGTAATGAGATTGAATACACAAGTAAAGTATTAGGATTAAGGGTCATTCATTCTCTTTCATGTGTTTACTTGACTATTAGACGGTGTAACGGGAAAAAACTTCATTCTCTTTCTCATGTTTACTAAAATTAAAAAAAAAATTATGAATGTAATGACTAAAATATCCTTTTACACAATTAAATAAGCATTAAATGTATAGTAATTCATTAATGGTAGAGAATTAAATTTAGTATTCATTCCCTCTTACAATGAATCAATACTAAGGTGGGTGCAATGATTGGTATTCCATTTTCTCATTCCCTATATTATGTGGGCTCATTAAATTTATATTATTGATTTTATAAGTAAACACATTATTAAATGAGAAAAAGAATCACTCCTAACTTCTCATTTTCCTTTGATGCAAAATAAACGCCCTTAAAGATGGGCCAAAAAAAGGGAAAAGAGGTGGGTCGACGGAGATGATGGATACTGATGAGGTGAAGGGTTGTTAACTGAGGACAGATCTCAGATGGATGGGTGATCGGTACCGATGAGGGATGGGATTGAGCAAGGGCAGATCAGAGCAAGGTGGTAGACTTGGTGATGATTTCGATCCGGTTGCACCGGAGGAGGAGAGGGGTGGCAAGGGCTGGGCGCCATAGGTGGGGGATTAACGATGAATGTTAGGACTTTGGGGTAGGGATTACTCATTTATGGGACTTCTCGTATCTTTTAATGTTTCTAAAATGTAAGTTTTAAAAGTTTTAGCTTCTAATAAGAAGAGCAATTTTGACATTTATGTATCTAAATGGGCCTCAAGGTATTAAAATAAAAAATTTTAGGTGGAACTGCAGATGAGACCTAATAAAAATGTTGTTATCATATTACATCACGATTTTTGGTGGTTGAGATACTATATTAATATCATTAAAAATATGAAATATTAAAAATATGTTTATCAACGTGATTTATTCAAAATATGAACGGTAGCAATCGGATTCAATCTGAAGTTGACCACGAATTCAAAAGGCAGGTCAAGCGGGCTTGGCTTTTTTTTTTTTTTTTTTTTTTTTTTTTTTTTTTTTTTTTTTCTTGGTAGGTGGATCATTACTAAATTGACCGAGTCAAAGAGGTTGTTTCATAGCAAAAAAGAGGTCGTTGTATGGTAACATGTAAATAAATACTTTGGCATTTCAGTGAAGAAAAATGTAAATACAATAGTAGACCAATAAGAATAAGATCAACACCACGCATTAGTAAATGGAAGGTCCACATTACGGACGACCTTTTAGTTGACGCGTTAGACACCACTGGTACTCCTAGGAAACTTTCTTTTTTTTTTCTTTTTTTTTTTCACCTTAGTTTTTATTAAAGTATTTGAGGACATGTAGGCTTCATTCATTTCACCGATTCGAATTTTTAATTTTAAATTTTTACAGTAAAAAGCTCTCAAAAAATGTCACATCTCAACTCGAATTGAAAACTCGAATCCGCGAAGTGAACGAGGCCGTAGAATCACAAAAGTCGTGTATCTCATTCTTTTGGAGGATATTTTACACATTTACGCCTTGTAGGATCTAAGCAACTCGTCCCTTAAACTTTTAATTTTTTATAATTTATCTCTCAAATTTGTGAAATTATTAGTGGTTGCCCTAAATTGGTGACGAAAAAGCAAATCCAATAAAAAATTTTCAATATTTCAATTCAAACGTAGTCTCTTAATTTCTCAACTTTTAATCCCTCAAATTTTACCAAAAAAATAAATAAATTAGCACAAAACTTGTAAAATGCGCGTATTGCCACAATTCTGCAAGTTGGAGGGGCAAATTGCAAAAACCCTATAATTCCAGGGCAAATGTACAAAGTACAGTTACAAAAGACGGCAACAAAAATAACAACTATAAGCAGCTTTGTGACATTATAAATCGGTAAGATTACAACTGTAAACAGTATTGGCTTCCTTGGCCAAGGACTTTCCTTTAAAGTTTCTGATATCCGATGAATTTACAGAAAATACCATTTCACTATATTATGCCTTGCCAATTAGTTAACTTTACATTTTCATATGATAATCACTGCAAAATCTAATGACCTGTTTGGTTCAAGAGTTAGAATTTCAAACAAAATTTTTGTGCACTTGTAGCACAAAAGATTTCAACCAAACTTTTTGGTTGAAAAAAAAAGGCTATGAATGGATCCGAATTACCTTCAGTGTGCATTGGTGGTCTTCACACACAACGTAACCTGAGATTATCAAGTGCACCAACTTTTATCCTGATAACTTTTTTCTTTTTCTTTTTTTTTTTTTCAGTACAAGAAACATGTATATACCATATAAGAATACTTATCTAGTTCACTTAAGCACTGGTTTTAAACATCAATTTTAAATGGATGATTTTTACGACCTTATCAAAAGCAGATAAATATTTCAAATGGGGTGGCATTTACCCCCACCATCCCTGAATTTTGCAAAAAAAAAAAAAGAAAATGGTGGAGCAAGACTATTATATTTAACATTGTAAGTACTGTTGGAGAAATCACTAAAATCACTATGATAATTATAAATCATAAGGTAAAATAAAGCCTCGTTATGCTGTAAATGTATTAGAAGTGAGCAAACATAGATACAACAAGCTTTCTACAGGTATGGAACAGCAGCACCTGAATGTGTTTTGATACCTTTTTGAATGCTGCAGTGCTTGGAAGTTGAAACTTCTCAATTAATCATCGTCGTCATAGAAACCAATTTTTATGCAGCCTTTTGAATCCTTTTAAGACCCTTTGGCTGAGGAACCTTGTTTTAAAGATCTTATGATGATGTCACGTTGAAGTGGAAGAGCCATGATACAACAAATGCAAATACCATACAAGCAAGAAGGAAATTCAGGAAGCGACGACCGTGCCAGAGGCTTCGGGACTCCGAAGAAGACATTGATGCTGAGATTGCAGCAATTGCAGACGCGTTATTGGATTCGTTTGTCTGCTCAGCTAACTCAATCTCACTTGCTCCTGCGACGTTGCGTGCAATGGATTGACAAATCTCACATGTCCTAATCAGAATAGTAGATGTCAAATGTTTCAGGGTCAAACATCTAAGACTACTTTCCATATAAAATGCCACCAGTAAAGCAGCGACTACATCTATGAACAAGAATATAAACCAAACAAATGAGGATTACACCAAGTAACCAGAAATATTTTGAATAAGCTAAGATTAAACGTACATCCCTGCCTCTAATGACTAATGTTAAGGTCAAGAGCTCTAATTTCCCCACCCCCAATTTCAACCAAAAAAAAAAAAAAAAAAAAAAAAAAAAAAAAAAAAACAACAACATTCACACCTACAGTTTTAAAAATAAAATCAAGAATTCAGGTATCAAGGGCATTATCCTTGGCATCAATTGTAAAAAAGCTTCAAGCATCCTATAGGTCAATGTAGACTAAAAAACTAACCAAATCAGGCTCTAGTAGCCTTTTTAGAGTGCCAGCCACTAAATGTGCATAATTAGGTTGAATTTTGGATCCTTAAAGATATTGGAATCTACAATAATCTAAATAATCTTGTAGGAAAGCAAGAGAACAATGTGAATTATGTGTTACTCAACTTTAACTAGAACATACACAAAAAGTTATAGTTTCACCGAGCATAATGATTGAATAGAAAAATGCGGATCTGCACATGGGATCAAAGTGATGTATAGTGCAACTGTAAGCCATAATATTATGCAAAGATGGCTAAATTGAAAAGAAAAAACAATTGGGTGTTACATGATCCACTTCCATAAATAGAATCAGAAGAAAACATGAAAAAGGAAAAAAAAAAATATAAATAGAGTTATTAAACTCCAAAGAGGAGAGAGAAATAAGGAAATCTGTTGGTGTTACTTAGAAAAAGAACCAAGACATCCCAAATGCTTCTCTTTGCTTTACTTTTTTTTCCCCCAATTTTCTCTTCAACGCAATCTTCTTTACTTTTCCCACAATTAAGCAAAAGCTTTCCTGTCTGCATGCCTGCAGGAGTCTTCCACATAATGCAAATCCACTTTTCCAGTCCCAGTTTAACCCATAAATTACTCAAAAAACTGAACCAAAAACACATCTAATTAATTCAGCTCAAATTCTCCTCTTTTGTTACGTGATCAACATTATTATTTCTTCCAATTCCTAAATCATCTCAATCAACTAATAATTGAATTAGAGGTCTCTCAACTAACAACAATTAACAAAACAAAACACATTTTTAATTCACTACAAAGGATTCATTAAACATGCATAATGCAAAGACCCACCAAACCAAAAATAAAAACTATGAAAACCAAGTACAAACTGAGGTTATCAAGAAAAGAAACATATATTAGGGGAAAAAAAGATGAGATTTTTTTTTTAACTCACTTATTTCCTTTAATCTTGAACCAAACCTCGGCGCAGTTCTTGTGTGCAGAACCCAAATCGTCCTTGCAAGAACAACCCAATTCAATAGGAACACCAGATTCATGGCTGTTGCTCTCCAAACCCAGATGACAAATCCTACAATCTCTCTCTACTTTGGCCAAATGCACCTTAATCTCAGAAACCCCATTCTCAGTTTCCACTTCCAGTACTCTCACAGAACAATCAGAAGCAGCAGAAGAAGCTCTCCGAGAATCATGAATTATACCAGCCTCGGGATCACAAACAAACTGAAAACTGTACTCGTCGTACGAACCGCCGGTCGTCGAGAAGAACTGGGAATAGCAAGAGCCTTCGTCGGCGTCGGAGAAGCAAACGCTCCCGTCGGCACTGACGTCACTCCCGCCGATCGAACGGTGGTGGTTAGTCTGATGACCTTGTCCTTGCTCTAACTCAACGTGGGAGTGGGACATTTTTCGAGCCCAAATTTCATAGACCCAGAAGATAAAACTTGGCTACAAAAATTTTGGAAAACTTGCTTTGTGAGTTTTTTTTTGGTGTTTTTTTCTCTTTTTGAGGAGTTGTGATGATCAAATCCGGAGATTTAAAGAAATGGGTATTGGGTTAGGTGACCCTTTCAACTCCATAAGTTGATTAGCTCGGAGGAGAGGTTAGAGATGAAGGTTTTGGAGTGGAAAAAAGTGCAGAGAGAGAAAGAGAGAAGATAGAGAGAGAAAAGGAAAAAACAATGGTCTCTGAGATAAAGACTCATTCTTTGGAAACTTGGACTGAAACACACTGCAGAGAGAGAGGAAGAGCAACGTGCAGTGTGTGCTACAGCAAAACTCACAAGAGACTTTTCATTATCACTGTATATTATAGAATACAGATTATAGATATAGATATATAAATAGATAGATTATAAATTAAAATATAAATAAATAAATAAATAGGTGTACAAAATAGAGCAATGTGAGGGACACCAATTCTAATCTTAATTACATTGTATCAATTTATATGACATAGAATTATTATTTTTATTGGTAAATATAGTAATTTATTATTAATTTACAGGGTAATTTTTAAAACAACTATCAATAAAATGATGATGACAATTCGTAAAAAATATGAGACTATTTTTTCCCCTTTTTTGCTTAAAGGCATTGTTTTTGTAAATATAGAAAATGTCCACAATCCCACAAATACAATATTAAAATATTCATTATTATGACATGTTTGTATATTTGGGCAACACATATTTTATTTAAGAATAATACTTAATAATATGTAATTTATCCTCTTACTTCAATGTTATCACATTTACACAAAAAAATTAAGGACGTTTTTATGGTGGAGTAAGTTATTTTGTTTCACCAATAGAATTGTGTTTTTATCGTTAAATTAATTTTCAGTGTTTAAATTTATAATATGAGTAATTATATGTGGCGTGTATAAATTTTTAATATGTATTTACACAATATAACCATTAAAAAATTAACCTAATAATTAAAATTAATTGTTCTCATCAGTGGAGTAAACAAGGATGCTCCACTATAAAGATTCTCAAAAATTATAGGTCCTATGAAAAGTATTACATTTATCTTCTCTTAGGCTGATGGAATTTTTTCAATCGAACTAATAAATATGTATATGTATATGTATATTATAAAAAAAAAACATTAGTTTTGATTATTATTTTGTTTAATTTAAGGTGGGAAATTTAAATTTTATACCTCAAAATAGAGTAAGATGTAGATTTACACTAATTTATGTCCGTAATCATGATAATTATAATATATAAAATAGTGAAATAAAAAATAATTCACACTACTATTATTTAAAAACTTTTTAAAAACTTATGTGTATTGTTGTAAAATGAATTAAACTATTTTTTTAATATCAAACAAAATAAAGCAATAAGTAAATTATTTTCATTCCAGATAAAACTAAATAAAATATACAATTTAAGTAGTAACTAAATACTCTTTTACAAAATTTCAATGAGTTTAACAATATTATAGAGTAAGCCACTTGAGGCTAGCTCAAATAGTTGAGTGTGTGTGTGAATCCGTTAAAATTAAAATCTTCAGTGATTTTATTTCTTATTAATTAAATGCGAATATTTAGAAAAAATAGTAAAATGAAAATTATAGAACACACCTCCCAAAATTATAATAATGTAGAGTGACTTTATTCGTTTTGTGAATTATTAATAATACATGTTATAATTTCGAATCATATATAGTGTGAAAAGATGTATTTTGGTAATAAAAAAAAAAGAAAAAGAAAAGAATTAATTTTTTGAATAAAAAATAAATAAATAAAAAAGAAAAGGAAAAGTTGGTGAGGGATTTGGTGGCGAACCAGAATCCATGTGGTTGGGAGATTCTGTACCTCTAATGGCTTCCAAGGCATTGTTTGAAAGATCTCTGTTTTGCTGACCAAAAAAAGGACCACGTACACCTTACCATTTCCGATTCCCAATTCCCAAATCTTTTTACGTTAGTAAAAACAGAGAAGAATCAAGAAATTAATATATTTTTTAAAATTTTTTATCGCCGTTTTGTTTTTCTCTAAGAATATTAAACGGATAAAGTCATCGCTTTCTGTATGAAAAGACGGATTAGTCCCCATCATTAGAAAAACAATGCAAGAAAGTAAGGCAGAAAAAAAAACAACCTCAAACGTCAAGTGTAATTATGTCAGCAAGTGTGCATTTTTGGATAATAATAATTGTCTTTGTCTTTCAGTTAGGCGATACTTTAATCAGTACTCTACGGTACGATAATTGTAGTAACTGACGAGCTACCACTTCTTGCTTTTCATTCTAGTTTTCGGTTTGTGGTTCAAACAGTTGGACCGTACATCATGTGATGCATTGGGATGAATGGACTTGATCTGGTAGGGTGTAAAAAGTTTTCTATGTAGCCGCAGCACAAAAGAATGATATATATATATATATATATATAATGTAATTTCCTTAGAATTCTATTTATTGTAATTTGTTTTGGAAACTTCATTTTTTCAAATTTTTAGTAATGGAATAGTTAACTTCATTTTTTCATTTTTTTCAATTTTTTTTTTCATGTTTTATGTTTTTATTTGTATTGTAATAACGATGATGGTGTCATCATCTACCGGTGTTATGTCTTGATTAGACGGTGGTCTCTCTCCGCTTTAAGTTCAAGTTATATAGGTCTCATTCACTCCGCAGATTCGAGTTTTCAATTTAAGCTGAGATGTGACATTTTCTGAGAGTTTTTCATTGTAGTAGAAAAAGTTAGATGTGATATTTATTGAGAACTTTTTACTGTAGAAATCTAGAACTGAAAACTCGAATCGGTGAAATGAACGAGACCATAGTCTATTTTGGGACTGGGATGTGGTTCATCTGGAGTTGTTTTAAAGTGTTCGAACCATGTTATAGTGTCACTAATTTGAGAAGTTCTCTCCATTATTAAGTAAGAAGTGCGTTTATATTATTTAGTTATGTGAGTAGCACCCGATTCTTAACTTTACTTTTATCCTATATCTTAACTTTTAGTTATTTTTTAATGAAGTTATGTTGTTGCCTTTAAAAAAAAAATTGGAAGTAGGGACCACATCATAAGGTCAGTGAAGCTTATGTCAATGTGCCTTTGCGTGAACAACACAAAAACTCTAATGTTTATATTGCAAAGTTGGAAAGAGAAATAAAAAATAGATTTAACGAAAGATGAAGAGAGAGCTCCCATGAGAACAATGCTATGAATCTATTTGCTACTTAAGACCTACTACTCTTAAGTTTACATGTGTTTATATCAATTTAGAAAAAAAACAATTAAAAATAATAATATTTTAAGTACATGTTAAAAATTGCCACATGTTGCACATGAAAACAAATAAAAGTGCCTATTCTCATATTGAGACAGGTTAATAACTCACCCCAACTTAGGATACTTGTGACTTGTGAGATAACTTTGATGAAGACATAAAAGTAATTCTTTCAATGTTCTGCTTCAATTATTTATGCAAGAGTATATAGTTTTTTAGTCATTATTCTTGTTTAGGAAAAGAAAATGAATTTCTTTCAATAAAATGAAAATAAAAAGAATTACCTTGTTTTTATATTTCTTTTAACAAAACAAAATAAAAAGGATTTATTTTTCAAGGATAAAACCAATTTTATAATAGGTAATTTTGGTCGTTTAATGATTCTTTACTTTTCTAGTAGGCAAGGTAGGGAACGTATCTAATTCTTGAGGTTTATTTTTTTTTTATTAATTATCTAATTTTATAGTTGATGCACATGTTTAAGAATTGAGCTCATATGTTCTCTTGTTGATTTCTTCTTTCGTGTCTCTCAATAAGATTATGTCACGTTAATTAAAATGTTTTAACTTTTATAACTTTTCAATTGATGTGGTGTGAAATTATAATTGACATGACATTTTAATTGACGTGGTATAATTTTATTAGAAGGACATTAAAAGAAACGCTAATAAGGAGACATATGAGTTTGATTCCATGTTTTCTAAGTTCTTTTTCTTTGAGTGATGCTAAAAAAAGGGACATATCATGGAAACTAATCAAACGAAAACAAATCGAACTAAACCGATTGATTCTTATTTTTTTAATGGTTTGATTTGGTCAATTTTTTTTTTAAATTTTTTTTACTGGTTTGGTTAGTGATTTTAGATTTTTCAAACCTTAAAAACTATTCAAACCAATCAAAATTCTTTCATAATTTTTTAAAAATAAATTTTGTACTTTCATATTTCATTTTATTTATGGTTGCAGTTTTTATGGTTACTCCATTATTTATCCATCAATGTGTATCATTATTTTAACTATAAGATATTAATTCGATGGTTGTAATAAATTAGATATTTGACTAAAAAAATTATAAAAATTAATAAAATTAAATTCTTATAATGTCACATCATCAAATTTCTATATTTGATGATAACAAGCAATAAAAACGTAATCATTAAAAACTCGTCCATATATATTTCACTCTATATACACACGTTATCTTTTGTCATAATTTAATTTTATTGTTATATTTTATGATTTAAATAAAATTTTAACAAGTTAAAAGTTTTGAAAATCATTAATTGTTAATTTTATAATATTAATTTAAACTTTTCACACTTCAAGAATTACAAGTCCAAACCCATTAAATCAAACCACCCAATCAACTATGAACAACCCTACTTTTCTTTTCTCACTCATCAACTTTGTCTTGGTTGAAATTACCAATATTTTGCCCAAGAGCTCCTCATATTTTTTTGCCCCTATAACAAAGTGTGTTACAAATATTCTACTAGTTTTCCGTTCTAAGACTTTTTAATTGAAATGTTTAGGCATTTTTTTTAAAATTAATTATATCCTAAAATTTGATCTTTATATTTTCAAATTTCATTATTAAGCTAGTATTTTGAAAAAAAAAAAATTCAATTATATCCCCAACTTTAACTTTTAAATATGTCGGTATTTTCAAAGATAAAACCCCTCAATAAAGTAGAAATTAAGAGAATATCACTTCATTGTGTGTGTATTTTTTTTAATCATTTTGGTATCTTGTGAAATGCCCAAACTATCTTTTTCATTAATTAACAAAAATGCAAAATTTTTAAAAATATTTTCTGAAAATATTTGACAACATTTAAAATTCAGAAAAAAAAAAAACCTAACATCTTAAGAAGTTTTAAAAACAATAAGAGCTTCACAAAGAGCATCTACAAGATATGAAAATAGGTTGCAAATAATTTTTAGGAGTAAACTTCTAAAGCATACATGAAACGCTAAAAACGACATTCATATATGGGTTTATTTGATTCGCGAGTACGGATTAGTGTGGCTTTGAACCTATGCGTTTGAACAGAAAATCCAAAGAGAGATTTATATTCATAAGATAATTCCACCACATGATTTCATTTAGCTTGTCCTCTTGTTTTTTGTAAACTTAATTTGTATGGATAATATGTAACTGAATATGTACAATGTACCTGTAGTTTGAAAGATACTTCTTTGCACTGGAATCTTATTCTTCTTTCACTTTTCTTTATTGCTCTAAAGAATTTCTCTTTGTGGGGTCTTCTCAATGCAATTTGTGGGTAATTTCTTTCAATAACACTGGAAATTAAAACAATTTGCAATCCAACAACTCCAAATGCATTGAAACCGTTTTGAATCCCTTTCATACGTCAAAGGTGTGAAAGCAAAACACTCTTTTTCGAAGAATTCAAAGAGGAGCACATCAAATTACAATGTGGTGGGGATCGCTGGCTTTAATGGCCCAGTGGGTGCAGCTGAATCTTCCATTCGGGCTTCCTCTGATTGAGTGTTACCTTTTATCTTCTTCTCTTTTTTTTTTTTTTTTTTTTTTTTTTTTTTTTTTTTAAAGAAAATTATTTTGGGAAAATTGTAGTGGGTCCCTTTTTTTAAAAACATAATTGGAGAAGAAATAACCCTTTTAAATATTGTTAAAAAATGACCTGTTTTGTAAGAAAAATTTCCAGATTTCAGAACTGTCCCCTAATGCAGTGTAACTAACCTTACAGAAACGTTTTTGACACGGTCATGAACTAAGCGACCGGTAAGTCGCGACCTTGAGTCATAAAGTTTGTCGTCCATACGGCGGTCTATGTTGTAAAGGTACTTAGGCAGAATGGTTGGCAGTTTTTTTGGTCAATGTGTGTATGGCACTTTTTTTTTTTTTTTAAATTTAATAACAGGCGGGAGAAGACAAAACTGCGAAGTGGCCGAGGAAGGCGGGTGGGTGGCAGATGATTTGTGGGTGAATTGGGCATGTTATGACCCAATGGATATTGTTGAAAAAAAAATATGATAAACTCATATTTTAAACGCATTGGTTTAAGATTTTTACACTTTATTTATAATAATACCTTTTTAATTAATTATTTTTTAATTAAAAGGTATTAATTAAAAGTAAACAGTGAAAATTTAAGACCCATGTATTTTAAGAAATATTTACATTTTTTCCCAAAAAATAAGCATTAAAAACTGAAAACAAAACTAATTAATAAACACTCTAGCATATAAAATTAAAATATATCTCATACATATTTCATTATAGCATAAATATGAATAGAGAGTTTGCGATGAGGAGCATAGAGGGCCCGTTTTCAATGAAATGCTATCATATATATAAAAGGAGCATAGAGGGCCCGCCCACAATCGGGCAGAGTTGTTTTGGTGGACCCACCTACACAGCGGTCTAACAAGTTGATAGCTTTTGTTATGTGTCCCTACCTTGTCGTGACAATATTGCAGCTCTATCTCGTGAAGTTTGTCGCTCATTTTAGCGGTTCGTTGCGGAGACGAGTATTTTGGGCCTGTTTATTTATGTTTTTATTTTTATTTTTTATATTTTTTAAAGTAAAAAATTGAAAACAGGTGTTAAAAACACGTTTGGTGTAAGTTTTTTTTAAAAATAAAAATAAAATTGTTTTTATCGTTTTGTGGAAATTAGAAAACAAAAAAAAAGTGTTTTCTCCATTTTCGTTTTCTTTTCCTTTTCTCTCTCGTTTTCTCTTCAGCCTCCCCTGTCTGAGTTTTTTTTTTCCGCTTCAGCCATTCTACAGCCATTCACCACCGGCGCCGCTCAGAGGTATGGCGCGATTCTCGTCGTCTCCGGGGCCGACGGCGACGAAGGAGCACATCTTGCTCGCCAAGCAAGTCGGCGTCCCCCCCCAACTCTTCTCCGACTGCCCACCCATCCCCCCCACCATCAACACCGGGGCATCACCATCAACACCGCCACCGTCGAGTACGACTGCGAACTGCCACTACGCCCACGTGGATTGCCCCGGCCACGCTGACTACGTCAAGAACATGACCACCGGCACCGCTCAGATGGATGGCGCGATTCTCGTCGTCTCCGGGGCCGACGGTGACGAAGGAGCACATCTTGCTCGCCAAGCAAGTCGGTGCCGCCCCCCCCAACTCTTCTCCGACTGCCACTACGCCCACGTGGACTGCCCCGGCCACACCCCCCCACCCCACTCTTCTTTCTGCAGTTTTGATGTATATAAAACAGAAACAAAATAGGCCCAATAAATTTAATAATATTATTTATTTAATATATTATTATTTAAAATATTATTACATGTTTTTAAAAATTAAACCACCAAACGCAGTTTCAGTTTTTTTTAAAACTGAAATCAATCTCTGAATAAAACTACCAAACGCATTTTCAGAAATAATTCCAAAATGAAAATGAAAACGTTTTCATTTCTATTTTCATACAGAAAACAAAATCATTTTGAAATCAATTTCAAACGCACCCTTTAGGTAACTTAATGCTAATGAGATAAGAGTTTGGGGCTAAGACAACTAGGGGAAGGAGATAAGTCTAGAATTAGGGTTAGGGTTTTCAATTTGAGGCTTTAAAGTTTTTCAATTAGGGTTAGGGATTTTAGGGTCAGGTTTTTCAAATTCAAGGATTTTTAACTCTATGGCAAGGATTGCTATTTTCAGTATTTATCAATAAACCTATTTCTTTAATTATTTAAAAATTATTTACTATTATATGATCTATCAATATTTACAAATATTTATTGAATATTTACTAATGTTTACAAATTTTTGCTTAGTATTTATTTACAAATATTTATATAATATTTATCAAAATTTTACATAAATACATCAAAAAAATATTTACCAAATATTAATAAATTTCTTTACTCAATAAATACATGATTTACAAATATTTAAATAATATGCTTTTAAATTTATAACTTAGAAAATTCATATTTTCTAATGTTTTCCTTAGTAAATACATGCAAATAGACAATTTATCAACATTTATAGGATATTTACAATTTTTTTACTTAGCAAATGGACGTTTAACCAATATTTACCTTTACTAAATTTTTATTTTTTAAATACTCTATTTATCAATATTTATGTAAAATTTACGAATCTACATACATTAAATTAAATTTTAATTAATAATAAAAGAGTAGTACGCTACGTTTGTACCACAAGGAAGTAAAATTTTTTTAATTGGTAAACAATAAATAAAATTTACCAATCTACATACATTAAGTTAACTTTTAATTAATCATAAAAGAATAGTACGCTATATTTGTAGCCACAATGAAGTTAAAGTTTTTTATTGGTAAACATGATTTACCAATTGATTTTCTCGCAAATATATGCTTACATTATCAAAATTTCTCTCACAAAATTTGAATTTAGTTCGGTCTTTATACTGCATGTTCAAATGACATTCTCAAATAAAGGAAAAAAAAAATAAAAAAAGGAAAAAATTATCAAAATGAGATTCTCAAATAAAGGAAAAAAATTTTAAAAAAAAAAGAAGGAAAAGGCTTCTCTCTATCTCGTATTTATTTATTTGTTTATTTATTTATTTGTTTTATTTATGTATTTAAGAGAACAATATATTATGAATTCTCTGAGAAGCAATAATGTGACTGCTCCAAATAGTTTTTTGATCGAACTGCCCCAAACACGTAGACAAAAAGTAAAAAGGTTAAAAGAATCGCTTAGACTAGTGATCTGTCTTTTTCCTAAACAAACTTCAAAATCACATTTGAGGCACGAACTGGTTAAAAGGCTGCAAATCATTAAGCAAATCTCGACAAGAAAACATGCAAAATGCAGAGCTCAGCCATTGTGTCCTTAACTGCTCTAAACTCAAGAAGTTTCAGAATTCCTGACGGGAATCCCCTTTAATCCACATGCAATATAACCTTGCAAAACTTGCATAAAGAGAAAACTACGTCTTCAACATTTATACAACGAGGAGTCACGCCGAAAAGAAAAAGGGTAATATATATATATATATATATAAGTAAAAAGGAATCATTTTCTCTCCATTACATCGTTATGATTGGCAACTTTTTGGATGGTTTTATGACCAACATTGTCATGATACCAAGTAGCTCACTTAAGCAACCCCTCTTCTTTTTCTTCAGAATACCTAGCGTGACTATAGTTGTCAGTTTACCTAATTTAGGACTCGTTCTGAAAATATACTCAAACTATGATTTTTAATTTTAACGTTTGAAATTTAAATTTTTTATGAGAAAAAAGCACTGTAACAAAATTAATAATTTAAATTTGAGTATATAAAACAAACGAGCCCTTAGTAGTTTAGTTCGGACATTTTCATTAAACGGGCAAGCAGTCGATATTTTGATCAACCGAATGCCATATTTGACACTTTCACAGGAGAGCTCTAAATGTTCAACTATGAAGGAGAGCTTAGCCTTTAGAAAGCAGGCCTTGCTTTCTTAATGTCACAGAGATCAAACAATCATTCAATGCAAACCTGTGAAATGATACGAGTGCCATGACAAGATTACCCTGGTGGGCAATCGGAACGGAAGTGAGTAGCGGATGTGCCGTAGAATATACAGAACCTTCCAACTTATGGTGAAAAAGGCACTAGAAATAACAAGCTCTGACATGTGAAATATAGAACCCCCAATAAACTTTGTCTATACTTAATTAACAAACATCTTCTGATGCAGCGGGGAATATGATCTAATTTTGGAAATAACTCATGCCTCACTGAGGGATAGAACCCCCAAAGGACTAAAATGTGTCAAATAAGCAGGAAAGAACAAACCCAGCAAGGGATAGTGGAAGAGCCAAGACAAAGCATGGTTAGAGAAAACACGCTGAAATATAGAAGATTGTATAATTCTACTTGTGGGGAAATAAGGAACCAAGGTTTCTACAGCTAATTGCAGCTGGAAGGAAAAAAAAAAAAAAAAAACTTTATTCGGGTCAATAGCGTCGCTTCGATTTCTCCTGAGCTACCTAAATACAAGCCTACATGGAAAATAAGAAATACTACTATTCCCACTTCCCATGGAAAATAACTCAAAGTACAAATTTTCACTAAACCGCCAGTTCCGACTAACACATCACAACTAAGCCACATAACCTTCCAGTAGGTAAACCATTTATGAATTAGGTATTTAGACGGCAAGAATTAAAAACAAAGGCTGGTCAAACCTTGTGTGTTTTCCTCTTCTATTGACTATTAGCCACAATGAAAATTCCGACCCTGGGAAAAAAAATATCCATGAAAACACTGGCCCCAAATACAATGTCTCTAGACCTTAAAACCTTCCGAAACCTTCTGCATCTTGCAAATTTTGTACTTCCCGCCAATACTGGGATATAATTATTCACAAATTCCCGAGTCCCCAGTTTTAGCATGCAGTAAAGCATCATGTAGCAGTCCTAGGTAGATAGGACATTGGTTTTAATCCCCCTCAAGTTCTCCCTTCTCTCTTCAAAAAGCATACGATTACCCATTCTACTGTCCTCAAAATGCCCCATTTGCACTTGAGATCCATGAGATATAATTCTACCAGCTGCATCACCCATTGCTCTAACAGTGCTATTCTCCAACCCACTTTTAAGCCAGGCAAGGTTGCTTATGTCAGTGCCAATTGCAGCCAGTTCAAAACTTGAAAATGCTAGAGGCTCTGAAAAATCAACAAATTCTGGCCCTAACAAAGAGGTTCGAGCATTCTTACCATTTTTTATCCCACAGCAACCATGGCCACATTGATGAGGCACTGACCTCGCAACGCATTCCGCTTCAAGCAATTTGAAAATTTCAGTATCAAGTTTTGATGCTTGAACCAAAGGTCCTTGCATCAGGGCTGTCCTTCGAAATGATGACAATGGTTCTTGGCCATCTAAGGGGTTATATACACTGAAAGCACTAACACGTGCCACTGGTCGAAACAGCGTAGGTGGCTCTTGTACTTCATGAATAAACTGACCTTCTGTTGGCAGCCTGAATTCATTCTGATCAACCATATGCTCCATGGTACAAAGATCTCTTCCTTCCATGGACTTGAATGAATTGACATCACCACATGACATGGTTTCTTCAGATGATGCTTTGGTTTTGTCCAAACTTACATCTTCCATAACATTGACAGGTTCGAACTTAACTTTTCCAAGTTCTATACACCGACGCCTCAAAGTGGAATTCCAGTGGTTCTTAATAGCATTATCTGTTCTCCCAGTAAGAAGCCTAGCAATTGCTGCCCACTTGTTTCCATGAATTGCATGGGCTGCAACTATGATCTGGTCCTCCTCATCTGCAAGAAATTTAGTGTCATCAGCCTTGAAAACATCATAGAAGTGTGCATGGGGAATATTGGTGATTTGTATGTCTCACGACTTGTCTGCATATCATTAACATTGCATCTTACAGAGCAACATAAATGGACAACAATGAGAGTCTTTGACGACGGTCCTTACACTTCAGTTCAAATAAGAGAACTAGAGGTAGTCAATTATATTCAAATCGATTTACATGATTTCAGCCAGTCTAGATTTATAATTCTTGGACAACATTGTGAGTAACAATGTCATGATGAATTCCTTGTTGACATTAGTGGTTCCGTCAATAACTAAGACCACCTTCCTACTCATGCCTTTACATTCCAAAAGCAATAGAATATTTTTGCCTTCTACAGACTCTCCATCCCTCCTTTTTACATAACCAAATTCAGGTAGGTACGTACATTGACTGTTGACAAAAACAGAAAACTCAAAGCTAAAACAACAAAAAACTAACTGAATTCTGTATCAAATCCTCAGAAACTGACATTTTTGCAAGTATAAAAGATGTATTACAACTCCAAATGCCAATTAAAAGAAAACTACATTTTTCATTGTGACAATTAAATGCTAACATGGGATCCGCAAGATTTGTGCAAAACTAATGTTGATGGCAGACACATTTTGGTCTGTCACGTTGGTTCAGTATAGCATTCAGTTACATACAAATTGGAAGCACACATAACGAGCTCACTAAGAGGTAAACCTTGAAAAACTCTTCATGGATGTTGGCTTAAAAAGGTTATTTGCAAACGGTTGAAATGAGACATAACATCAATGGAATTTGTGAATGAGACACATATAATCAAAATAGAGCTACAAGTCTGAGAGAGTGCAAAAACATGAACAAGAAGCCCAGATGAGACCAATGACAGATCCAGGATTTTGATTCTGTGGGTGCAAAAATAAGGACTAAAAATAATAACAAAAAGCCTCCGACTCCAAAAAGTTCATACTCCATATGGCATTCAAAATCATGTAAAACTTCTAACCTTTTCAATAGTGATATTTTATTAAGTATTATGCATATTCCAAAACAATCTCATATATATAAAAAAATAAAATAAAAAAAATACCATTGAAACTAATCTCTTAAAAAAAGTTCATAAATTTCTATAATATCTTACAAATAAACATGAGTTTATGTGTGTGTGTGTGTGTGTGTTTATCTCAATATGTTAATTGTGGCTATTGAAGCTAACACATCTTGGAGAGCAACTAAACTTTTGATATAAAAGTAATGAGAAATAAGGTTAGAGGAAGGAACGTGATAGAAAAAATATGAGATGGAAGGGAAAAAAAAAAGAACAAGAAGAATAGTAGTGGTGCAAGTCCCAATGACCATAGATAGAACCTATCCAATTTTTACAATGTGATGGTTAGCTGTTCACGGACTAGCTGCACCTACCGTTTCTTTTTTGGAGTCAATATCAGCAATGCAGTTTATCCAACGATAAACCTAATCCGAATCATAGAGCTACGACACAATCAAACCCGAACGAACAATGAATCATAGTTCTCATACTATGTAAGTAATCTATTTTACATATTCCGTTCTTCAGATAGTAGCATACAATGAGAATATCCCACGATCGTGGAAACAGGAGAAGAATAGAAAAATAGAGAGAAAATAAAGTGAAAGGATATAGGAGGAAAAAGAAAAATTTAAGAGAGTGAGACTTTAGGGGAAAGAAGAAAAAAATAAAAAGAGATGGTTATTTGAATATGGGCAGACTGAAATGTAAATAAATCAAATGAGTTTTTAAACTACGGACGAGAGTGTATTCAGTGTAATGTAGTTAAGCCCAAAAGGTAGACTAGCTTAGCAAACAGCCCAAAGACAATCCCGTGGGGGCACAACCTATAGCGTAGATATAAATTGAAGACAAAAAAAAAAAAAAAAAAAGGACAAATGTATGCATAGAATCGCAGATTTCCTGGTTTTGGAATCGCAGATTTGCAGAAGAATTTATCCAGTATAATCGAGCATGAGCATAGAACCTTCACTAACACCCGTTACTTGGTAAATTTTCTACACTAAAAATGCATGCAAAGAATTTTTCCTGCATAATTGAGAACGAAGCCATACTTTCACTAATCCCCTGTTACTCTAATTGAGCACGAATATAGAACTTTAACTAATAGCAAAAAAAAAAAAAAAAATGTCAATATCAATTTGTTCGCTTTTCCTACTTTTAAATTTCAAAGCGAGTCAGATTCTAAGCTATTTCAAACGCACCCAATAAGTAGAAAAAGAAAATATGTTATCTACATCTTTACCATGAGGCATGAGCTCTGCTTTTGAACCAAAAATCTGCACCCACCTGAGCAAGTCTAGAGACATAAGCCTCACAATACGTTCAGCCTAAATGAAACCACTAGTATCCAATTTGAGACCCTCTCATAAGTCATAAGGCTTACCAGGCTAAATACAGTTTCACACTAACACAAGCTTTGCAAGGCTGAAATTGAATTGAGACTGTAAACGCCATCATGCCTAGTAAGGCCCAGGAATAGAATAAAATCCATCTAGTGAAAGTGCAAAATTTCTATGTCAAAAAAGTCAATTTGGAAAAGGCTTATCCATTCCTGTTCTATCACTTACTCACACACACCCACACACCCACACAAAGGCTTATCCATTCCTCACTCAGATGTCAATCAAGGCACATCTGAAAATCAATTGTGAAAATAGTCATGATGGCGAAAACCATTTGAGCAACGAATCTTCTCTATTACACAATGCCAGGGTTATTAAATTTACTGACAATTATTACGACTGAATGTGCTCAAAACTTCAAGTACTTCATTTACAACATTAAGTCGATCGATTGAGAAAATACTCAATTTAGGGAGCCCTATAACTATTTTTCACCTAACAGTGTGCTGTACGACTCAAGTCATGTAATGTGTCAAAATTGTTCCAATACTTTGGTGGACATGTGCAATATGATCTTTCTCTTCATCGTTACGAGGCAGAACTAGTGCCAAGCTTCTCATATTTTAGCTCAAATTGTATACCATACATACACTTGCACAACGCATGAACGATCTCATTGCACAGATTCATAAATGAAAAAAAAAAAAATATATATATATATATATAATATAAAATCTAATTGCTCAGAGAATTAAGAGTTCTTCACACCATAATGATTCAAAATAGATGCAACTTAAACATTGTAAGTTCAGTTCTAAAATGTAATGCCAGACAAATTACAAACTCATAAATTTTATATCAGAAATGCAAAACCCTTAATTTCGGACAAAAAGAACCAAAAATGGTTAAGGAAACAAACTGTTCAAGAGCAAAATGAGAGCGAGAAGAACGAAGCAAATGAGTTTGGATTAAATAAAAAGAAGAATTACCAGAAAATGGCTTGCGTTTCACGGCGGGATCAAGCTGATTACACCATCGAAGACGGCAAGACTTCCCGGATCGGCCGGCGATTCCGCGGGCGATCAAGCTCCAATTCCTCGCTCCGAACTTGCCCACCAGCCGGCTAAGAATGGCGTCTTCCTCCGGCGACCAAGGCCCTTTCACTCTGTCTCTACTCGCTTTACCTCCGCCACCGGCGAAAGCGGCCTCGTCGCCGCTGCCGCCGCCGAAGGAGAGGTCCTCGGCGTCTCCGCCGCCGTCGATTTCGGAGACGACGGTGAGAGCGCCGTTGGTTTCCATGGGGAATTGGTGTGGGCGTGCACAGTATCTACCAGACTTAACTGCAAGAGTGTTGTTCCATGGAAAGACAGCTGAAGAGATTTATAGGGCATTTCTTTCGGGATTTTCTACTTTACCGGTTTTTTCTTTTCTTTCCTTTTCTTTTCCCTCCAACTAGGTCGTTTTCTCTAAATTACATATTTGTCCTTCGCTACTTTGGCAAATTACGTTGCACGCACCAGTTGAATGTCCTTCGCTGTAGGGACCTCCTTATACAAGGACACTTAATTAAGTACGAAAGGGTAAAAAATGTGTGTTAAGTACGAAAGGGTAAAAAATGTGTGCTTGATTCTCAAAAAGGTTGTTGATGCCCGGTACATTCATTGGGTACAACGTGGCAATGGTGTGCATGTAGACGTACCCAGTTTGCCGGTGCTAACTCAAACGTAAACGAGGCACTTATCGATTCTCACAGTGATTATGCCGGTAGGATCTCTAATGAAGATGTGGGGTCAGCTAAGTTTGAATTAGGCTGAAAAAAGCATATTTTAAGGCTCGTTTAGTTATCGAAATGACCAAAGTATTTTTGTAAAAAGTGTTAAAGAACCTGAAAATAGAGAAGAAGAAAATCATATGGAAAATTATAATAAGGGTAAAGTCATGACACTACGAGCCTCGAAATATGCTCCGGAGATATTCTAATTTGAAAAAGCTCAAGGAGGCTTTGAACACTCTTCGAAGAAGAGTAAATGAAGATCTGTCAGAACTTCTTAAGGAATATTATAGCTTGAAGCACTCTGAAACCAACGGAAACTCAGGAACAATAATGAAAAATATTGAGTCTTTAGCACAAATTCCCTAAGAGTGCGGGATTCAATTTCATGATGACTTAAACACTTCCCAAGTCTGAAATTCCTTAAGAGTGTGGGATTCAATTTAATGTTATATAGCCTCGTTCATCTCGCCTGTTCGAGTTTAGAATTTGAGTTTTGTTATAGTAAAAAGCTTTCAGAAACAATCACATCTAATTTTTTTACTGCAGTAAAAAACTCTCACATAAAGTCACATCTCAACTTGAATTATAAATTCGAATTAACGAAGTGAACAGACCCTTAAATTTCCACTTCTAGAGGTCTGATTGCACGTCACAAGCTGACACAAGCTGCTCCGAGGAAGTTCTCACGGGCGAGCCAAAAGTCTGTGCATAAACACTCTTTGAGGCAAGCGCACAATGCTACTCCGAGAGGCGAGATTGGCACGAGAAAAGCCTCCGTTGAAATAAAAAAAAAAAAAAAATGATGAAACCAGACCTTTACTAATGGGGAACGTTCTAGAAGTGAATGTCTTGGATTCTTGGACTCCCAAAGGCTGAAATGAACAGATTGGGCTTCCAAAAGACACAAGGAACGCTTTTGGAATTTAATTCTCTATCTCTCATTTATTTCTAACTTGACTAATTTGAAAAGTCCATAAGTGAGATTTAAATTAATAACAAGTCAAGAAATAAATGGGCCTATTTAATTACATATTGTCCACCAACACGACCCATATGAGTTTTTTAGCTTAACGAGCCCAACAATGTCACGAGACAAAATTATTGGACCTAGACTTTTAAATAAATCTAGTACAAAATCAACCATCAATAATAATAAAATATAAAAACAGACCAATAATCGAGCTCACAATCAGTTCTTTTAATATCACCTCGACAATCCATGAATAATTCCAATGATCGAGACCAAGAGACTGCAAAATAGAGGTCACAAACAACACAACAAGGAAGAAACCCTTGCATATTATATATATACAAACAAATAATCCAAGAGTAGAGAGACCATATTTATTATTACATCATACGAGTTAAAACTCACATAAATTACATGACACCAGTGTGACAGAGATCCTAACATTATTATTTTATGCAGCGACGGAGTCAGAAATTTTTATTAGTGAGGACTTATAACTACGTTTAAAATTTAATCAAAATAAGATTTTGCATATAATATTGAGTTTTTAGAAGTAAGGGCTATAAGATTAATTTTAGTAGGTGCTAATTTGTATCAATATAATATGATATATAATTACATATATAAGATTTTTAAAACTAAAAAATTTGAGTGGGGGAGCCCCCACTGGGCATGCCCTGGCTTCATGCATGATTTTCGGAAATCAAAAGCGACAAAAAAAGGAGATAACACCAAACTTTACATTCATTCTCATTTATGTCCTACAATCTTTAGAAACTCTCACGTTATTACTTCAAACTTTGAGTTAGTCTTGCTTTGAATTTATAACGCTAATCTACAATACAAATCTTTTTTATTTTTAGTCTTACTTCAAATTTATAACGCTAATCTACAATACAAATATTTTTTATTTTTAGTCTTACTTTGAATTTATAACGCTAATCTACAATACAAGTCTTTTTTATTTTTAGTCTTACTTTGAATTTATAACGCTAATCTAAAATCCAAATCTTGTTTATTTTTTTCTTTTATTTTTGTTAAAATTCAAGTTTTATCTTGGTTAAACAATAAGTGAGTGTTATTTACGGCGGGATTACAATTATTTCTATTTTTAGCTTCTCTTTTTAGTATATTCTACTTGTTTTCAATGAGAACTCTAAGAGATGAGGTTAAGTGAGATTAATTTAAAGTTTAGGTAACAAATTAAGGGATTTTAATGATTAAATGCAAAGTGGGAGTAAGTATAAAATTTTGGGAATAGATTGAAAAATCACTTTTTGTGTTGAATTTTGATTTTGTTTATTTATATTATTTAATAATTTATTTCCTAAACATAAAATAGACGAGTAATCACTACAAGAATGAAGGCTTTTAGTGACGACACCTATAACGACGACAACAGTTGTTGCTAAAATATGAGATATAGCGGCAACTATTTTTGAGAATAAAATCTAACAAGCAACGAAAACTTAAAAGTGGGCTCTACTTTTAGCGATGACAAGGTTGTGCACAATAAATTGTATAATCTGCAGGCAAAATTCGAGCGTACAAAAAGTTTTAGCGACGACTCATGTTGCTAAAAGTCATGGCACATAACGTGGGTAAAATTTGCTTGTAAAACAATACTTGGCGACGACTCTAACATGTATCGTCACTAAATGTTAACCATAAAAATGATGCAGTGAAAATTTGGTCTTTTCGTGCTAGAAAGGGTTAGATTCTTTCATTTATCGTCGCTAAAACTTTTTTCGTCAAAAATTAATCTGAACTTTAAGCAGTAAAAAAATGCAGGAGTTTGACTTCTAAAGATATTTTCAAGAGTTTTAACAACAACACATGTCATTGTTAAAGATTTTGTAACGTAATATAATTATTTCACAATATTTTAATATATATTATCGAAATGACATCGTTCTATAAGCCTTTAGCGACCACAAGAATGATTTTGTCGCTACAAGTCATTTTATAAAACCATTGTGATCTCTTCTTTCTCGATAAACTGTTCTCCCTCTCTAACCCACTCCCCTGCTCTCTCTCTCTCTCTCTCCATCCTCCGATGAAAATTCACCACGCCGTGCGCCTCTCCTCCTCAGGTCTACCCGTATCTCCCTCTTTAACCTATTATCTCTATCTTTCTCTAACTTGCTCCTTTTCTCTTTACACTGCCGCGGCCCAAGTCCGATGGTCGCGCCCAAAACGCAATTGCCCTTGCCTCGGCCTCAAAATTGCTGCCGAACACCCTTGCACCCTTCCATCTCTCTCTCAACCCATTCTTTCTCTCTCAGCTCTCTTTCCACTACAAGAATTGCCGCCTTTAGCGACGACATTAGTTGCCACTAAAAATTACATTTAGTGACAACATGTCGTCGCTAAAGGCCATTGTTTCACTTGATCTCAATTCATTTCAGTGACGATTGGGCAGGATTTTTAGGATGACGTGTTGTTGCTAAAAAAGGAGTTAAAATAGTCAACTTTTTAGCGACGACTACTCATCGCGGAAAAGTGTTAGTAAACTCTTTAGCGACGGCATTGTCGTCACTAAAAGTAACTAAAAATTTTTGGCGGAATTACAAATTTTCCTAAAAATTTAAGGCAATAAGATCAAATTTTTTGTAAGTTTTTGTTGCTTCCGACTGCAAAGTTTTCAACCTTTTTCGTTTGAAATATAAAATCTAAATAGCCTGTAATTTAAACTGGCATTTGCGTAGGCAATTAACCAGGAATAAAATCTAAGGGCCCGTTTAGTTCGCTGATTCGAGTTTTTAATTTGAGTTGAGATGTGATTTTATGTGAGGTTTTTACTGTAGCAAAAAAGTTAGATGTGACTGTTTTTTAAAGCTTTTTATTGTAGTAAAACTCAAATTCTAACTCGAATCGGTAAAATAAACGGGACCTAAGTTATATTTGAATACATGTTGAAAATGTCAATATGTTTTTGTGATGATAAAACTAGAACTGAGATTTTGGTTAGGATTTCTCTTGAAAGCTACATTTTCAGTACTCTTGTGTATTTTGTGGTAAACACCAAATGAATGATAGCACTATATATTATCGTTAATTTTCCACACACAACAAAAAAAAAAGAAACAATCTCAATGCAAATTCCGAGGTACTTTTTACCTCGACATAACGGTATGTTGAATATGATTCAAAAAATTTATTTATCCAAAAAAAAGTACATATACTTTTTTATCGCACCTTATACAAAGACACGTAATCAACTACAATTTTTCTACTCCTCACGAACGAAAAATGCTGACCAAGTAACCGTTCGATGCGTGCGTCCTCTGCAAGGGTCGCTAGTGGTATAACAAATAACGTCCTAAATACTATCACTACCAAAAAAAAAACAACCTTAATATAATGTAAACATGTATGACGAGCAGTCTTTTATATAAAAATTTAAACATTATTTATCGACATGATCAAATTGAAACCCTCAAAGATATAATATATTCTTTCCAGTGTTTCGTCTTCACTTTGTTTGTTACTTTTACTTATATTTATCTACTGTACAGACCAAGTGGATAAGCGTAAATTTTATATAATAATATTTCAACCACAATGCATGGTAGTTAGCTAGTTTGTACGCATACTACCATGTTTTTTTTTGAAAGCATATTACTAACTGAGTTATTTAAACCCCGTTCATTTCACCGATTCGAATTTAAAATTCGAGCTTTGTTACAGTAAAAAGCTCTCAGAAATAGTCACATCTAACTTTTTTACTACAGTAAAAAACTTTCACATAAAACAACATCTCAACTCGAATTAAAAACTCGAATTAGAGAACTAAACGGGTATTTAGTAAATAATTGAGAGATCTCAAATTCGAGTCTTATACGAATTAAAATGAGGATGATTGAGAGATCTAAATATTTGAGACTATTTAAAGACTGGCCGTTTAATATTCATTAATTTATTATGGAATTAAAATGACGCATTACGCCTCTCACATAAGTAGTTAAGTACGTCATTAATTAGAGAAATTAATATTTTTGTCTTAAACAAGTAAAAATTAATTTCTGACCAGAATTAAGGTACTTCAAATGAAGATGTGTACTTTGACAAAAATGATTGCTTATGGTGGACTAACTTTGCCAGCGCTGCAGTAGAGAAAGTCAAGGGTGGGTGAGTCTCTTAGTTGCGTGTGGATTTTAAGGATAATTAACATATTTTGAAGAAGAAAAGGACGAATTAAACAAGTTATATAGGTTAACTAGCTACTTTATCTTCTAATATAATCGGATAAATCTTAAGCAGCGATGTTATGATCATATACATATAAGTTTCTTTAATTTCTTCAAATATATTTATAAACTGGCGTCCTACTTTTCAAAAGAAAGACCCGGAAGAAACCTAAGAATATATTTCGACGGATCTCAATTTCTAGTGTCCGCTTTTCGTAATCGATTAGACATCTTTATGTAATTTTCTTTATTATTATTTTTTTATATAAATTTTTTTGTACGTGTTGACTAAAGACTCATCATTTCATCCTGAAAAATGATATGAAGATATTATCCAAAAAAAAAAAAAAAATGATATGAAGATTATTGTTAGGGACAAGTCGTTTACGAATTGATCTAAAGTTAATATTCCAAATACGTTGGCCCATATTAATTAATATTTTTATCTGGGTAATTTTTTTTGATAACTTTTTTTGTTGAAATCGTTCTTTTTTTTTTTTTTGGATAATGATTCTTTATATTTGGGTTAGTTTATTACCGTCTGTACCCTGCTCATAGAGTCAAAGAGCCCGTTTAATTGGATGATTCGTTCTCTGATTTGAATCATAGTTCATGATTTGTTACAGTATTTTTCTCACAAAAAACACACATAAATCGAAAATGGTTCTAATCTCATGGTTCTAATCTATGAACCAAATGGGCAAAAAGTGTTTTTGTTGAAATTGTTGTTTTCTCTTAGCGTGTTAATTTGTTGATTCTTTTTCTCGCAGAGGTTTAAATGTACGGATTTAGAACATTTCAACTAATTACACTGATACTTTTCAGTTCGATCGACATCATCACACAACAAACCTCAATTCAAAAAATTTATTAAAAATAAATATAAAATTAAAACGAGTTAATAAATCTGAAGATAATCCAAAAAGTTCCTTTAAAAAAAAAGATAATCCAAAAAGCGAAGGAAATGATCATGAAGGCGAAATTCCGGAACAATTAATGAACTACCATTCTCACAAGTGTATTAATTTAAATTTCTTACAGAAGTTTTCTTGCATTTGTCTACATGTTTTTTTTAATATTAAGTATGCATGTTTGTTTGGTGGTTATACATATATATATATATATATGTGTGTGTATATATATGCATATCAACTTTTGTATATCTTGTTAATTTCCTAGCCTGGTTATATGCACAACAAATTCTAAAACTTGATCATCTCAAACTGATCCGTCAAAGAATCAATTGCAAATTATTAAAAAAAAACAAAAAAAAAAGTACCGGACAACTATCTTCCAGTTAACATAACAAATGTGAAAATTACTGAAAAAAAAAAAAAATCTGAGGTTTCTTTTGTTTTGTTTTGTTTTTGTTTTTGTTTTTGTTTTTTTGTTTTTGTTTTTGCGCTACATCTCTAAGTACGTGGAAAAGGGCAATAATTAGGTAGATTATTGAACAGGTTAAATTAGCTAGTAGCAGATATTAGACTTTTCAAGGCATAAGTTTGGCGTGTGAAAAAACAATGTCAACGAGAAGAAAATTTTAACCTACCATCTTTATAAAGAAATTTTTCCTTCAATGCTAAGGCACTGTATGTATTTATTTATTTAAACAAGAAATTCCTCGGGACAGTTATCAACTTCTAACGACGTATATCGCGTAACAAACAATATTGCTAGATCGAAAAAAAAAAATACTGAGACTGTTGTTTTTAGGGTAGATTATTAAAACTTCACTAATATGCTTTCGTCATATTTAAATGTCAACCACTAAAATTAACCATAGACTTGCCTTACTTATAATCACATTCACAGCATGAGAATACTCATACAATTAGGACATGTTTGGTTCATGAGAATAAATCATATGGTTTGATCGAGAATTTAAATTTTTATGAGAAAAATACTGCAGAATAACTTTTTAAATACAAATTTTTGTGAGAGAAGTACTGCTTTGAACCGGATTCAAACCCCTTTACCAAACAAGGTCGTAGTGTTGTAGTTAATTGTATGGTTTAGGGGGCTTGATCTGTTAATACTAATACTTTCCTGTTATAGTTTGGTCTTTATGACGGGTACTACGTGCATGCACCTTCTGCTTGTTTAATTAGAATCTTTCTTTATTACTATTTTAGAGAAAATGAAATAATAATAATAATAAATAAATAAATAACATCTTTCTTTAACCATCCAATGCACGACAACTACGTGTACGAGATAAAATAATAACAATAACACTGGAATTAGAGAAATCAACTTGCTCTATGGTTCCTAGAAAACAGAACACGAAAAGCTTGTCATCAAAATAACGAAGACTTAATAAAATACAGCTACAAATGTAAATATATAGAACATGTCAATAACGTTATCATCATGAGAGAGAAGTTAATTTGGGCAACCGTCGTCCAAACATCCCATTCAAAAACGAACTCTTGTACTTCATCTCCAAATAACAAACCAATTAATAAAGATATTCTGACTTTTATACGAGATTCATCAAACGTTGTGGATAATGAAATGTTGCATATTATTATTAATTGACCAAGTAAGTAAATTCATATTTTTAATTGGGAATTACAGTGAATTTTCCGCATAGCATGGTAAACCAACCCACGCAAAATATTCGAAAACGAAAGCTATAGCGCTTGGCCTTTGTCAAAACCCATTTGATCTAGCTATTATCTATTTCGTTACGTAACTGCTTGTTGCCCTACTATAAATACAACATTTTATGCTTGTGTTGAGATATCACAAAACATTAATAAATGTATTCTACTAAGAAAAACATATCTCCTCAACACTTTCTTATCCATATATAGCTTTCACTCTTTTTTTTTTATCCTTATTATCAAAATCTCAACTTTCAACGATATTATGGCAAGATTTGCCATTTGGCTAGCGTGCGCTTTAGCTCTTTTAGCTTCCTCAATATCCTTCGCTGCAATAGTGGAGCATTCTTTCAATGTAATTATTTCTTTTGTCGATAGTCAAATCATGATATAGTTTCATTTTTGGTTAACTTAATAGTTTGTAAGGTTTGCACATTTTACTTCCTTTATATATACCTAGTTTTAAGTTCCTTAATGCTTTAATTAATAACGTATATATTTTCGCGTGCAGGTTGAAAATTTTGTGGCGACGAAGCTCTGTCGTGAGCAAGAGATAACGGCAGTAAATGGAGGATTGCCTGGACCAACAATAGGCGTTAAAGAGGGTGACACTCTCGTCGTCCACGTCTTTAACAAGTCGCCATACGGCATTACTATTCATTGGTATATGAATTATTGAATTAGCTCTAGTGTCATGTATTATATGCATATATGCAAATATATGTATATATATAATAGTAAGTTGGACCCAAAAAACAAAAAAAAACGAAAGAAGAAGTAGTAGAGTTGGTACTTGAATTTTTCAATTTACGGTTTGACTGTGACAACAAAGCGCGCGCTTAGAAGTTACTTTTCGATGTTATCAGCTACCCTAACCTGATTAATTAGCATCATCTTTCGTCCATTAATTACTAAGGGTCATGTATTATATACATATATGCATATATATATATATATATATATATAATAGTAAGTTGGACCCAAAAAACAAAAGAAAAAGTAGTAGAGTTGGTACTTGACTTTTTCAATTTATCGAACGGTTTGACTGTGACAACAAAAAGCGTGCGCTTAGAAATTACTTTTCGATATTATCAGCTACCCTAACCTGATTAATTAGCATCATCTTTCTTCCATTAATTACTAAGGGTCAGTACGAAAATAAATAATAAATACAATGCAATACTATGTAAAGTGCACCTAACATTATATATTAGTTAGATTTATTAACTTTTTTTTTAATATGTTATGAAACTAAATATCATCTTGTATTATATATGAAAATACAACATAATAAATATATCTTGAATAATATGACAATATAAGCTATTAAACATGGACTTAGGTTTAATATAATAATTAACTTTTGATTTTTCTATGCAGGCACGGGGTATTTCAACTTCAAAGTCAATGGGCAGATGGGCCATCAAATGTTACTCAATGTGCCATACCTACAGGACAAAGTTATACCTACAGATTCAACGTCACCGGACAAGAAGGAACCCTTTGGTGGCATTCCCATGTTTCGTGGCTCCGAGCAACCGTCTACGGTGCGCTTATCATTCAACCTAAACACGGCCGCTCAGCCTACCCTTTCCCTAAACCCCACAAGGAAATACCCATCTTACTAGGTATGTAATAGATGCAAGTATTATTCTCATGCAATTTTTATTACACATATACGTATATATATATAGCTTAGTTAAAATATTCAAATCATATTCTTAATATGTTATCTCTTAAAAATAGTGATGATGGAACAAATATTGATAAAATATTTATGTATATATATGATTGAACTGCAGGAGAGTGGTGGAATGCTAATGTGGTGGACGTTGAGAATGAGGGACTTGCCGCTGGTATAGCTCCGAATATCTCTGACGCTTACACTATCAACGGAAAACCTGGTGATCTCTACCCCTGCTCCGAAAATGGTACGTAAATACACATTAATTATAAAGAATACTTATAATTAATAGGCCTCTAATTAAAGAACTCTAATGCATGAAAATAATTAAATTTTTCAGAATTCTATTATCAGAATACTTATCCTAAAATTAATTTAAATTGTGTTATAATCAGATATGTACAAGATCAAAGTCGAGCGAGGCAGGACGTACATGTTGAGGATCATCAACGCCGCACTCAATAACCAACTCTTCTTCAAGATTGCCAATCACACGATGACTGTTGTTGCCATCGATGCCAGCTACACGGATCCCTATGAAACCGACGTTATCGTCACCGCTCCAGGCCAGACCGTCGACGTCCTCATCAAAGCCGACCAGCCGGTCGGGTCATACTACATGGCGGCTCGTCCGTACGTCAGTGTTCCTCTGCCGACTGTCATACCATTTGACAACACAACCACCAGGGGCATTTTTGCCTATGAGGGTTCCGAGTCAAATAACCCCGTGATGCCAACCCTACCTGATTTCCTTGACACCCCAACGGCTCACAAGTTCTACACCAACCTGACAGGGCTCGCCGGTGGACCCCATTGGGTCCCTGTCCCGCTCGACGTGGACGAACACATGTTCGTGACAGTCGGACTGAGTACGGAGCCGTGTGAAGAGATTAATGCCACGTGCCCGAACGGGCAAAGATTCTCTGCTAGCATGAACAATGAATCGTTCGTTTTCCCGCAGAACGCGTCTATGCTGGAGGCATATTATTATGGCCGTGTGGACGGAGTTTACACCACTGATTTTCCCGACAACCCTCCAATTGTATTTGACTACACGAACCCGAGCTTAAGCAACGTCGAACCACTGATTTTTGCGCCGAAATCGACGAAGGTGAAGAAGCTGAAGTTCAATTCGACGGTGGAGATGGTGTTGCAGAACACGGCGTTACAAGCGGCGGAGAACCATCCGATTCACATTCATGGTTTCAATTTTCACGTGTTGGCTCAAGGCTTTGGTAATTACGATGCCGTCAGTGACAGTACGAAATTCAATCTCGTTAACCCTCAGATACGTAACACCATCGCTGTTCCATCTGGAGGCTGGGCCGTAGTAAGATTCCAAGCTAATAATCCAGGTTGGTTAAAACATTCATTTCTGATATTGGATTGGTTTCCAGAGTTCTTTGTGTATATTTTTTTGAATGCAAAAAACATTTCATAAATCAACAAATCAGGAAACTGACAAAAACCTTGATAGAACAAACTAAAATTAATAGATCCGTTGCATGTTAATACACGATTTTAAAGTCCGATAATAGACGTAAGACACATGTAAAAAATTAGTGAGACTCAATTTTTGTTAGTACTTAGTGATTAGTATCGTCAGTGTCAAATAGCATTGCTCAACATATATAGAGTTGTTATTTACTGTTTATACCGTATCAATTATTTTTCACATAGGCCCTTCTTATAAGTTTTGATTTGATTTTTTTTTTTTTTTTGGGTTTATATACCATCCGAGTAAGACTAGTCAAATATATATAACTGAAAAATAAAATATTTTTCATAAGTTCTGATAATTACGTGAACGACACAGGTGTATGGTTGGTACACTGCCATCTGGACGTGCACTTGCCTGTGGGAATGGCCATGGCATTTGAGGTTGGGAATGGACCCACTCCATCATCTACTCTGCCACCTCCACCGTCCGATCTACCCCGGTGTTAAATTAGATATGGTGGACAAATTTCCTCTGAATACAAGTCATAATTGATCGCTCTATTTTATTAATTTGTTTGCTTTCGAAATAGATAAATAAAGTTTGTAAGAGGTGGTTAAGTTGCAACCACTATTCTTTCTTTCCATACTTTTTGAATTATGTTATTCTTTTATTGTTTGAATTAAAACATAATCAAAATCCTTCTTATTTTTCCCTAAATTCTTTATTGTTTGAATAAAACATAATTTGTTCTTATTTTTTTCGATCAATTCTATGTTTTCGATATATACGCATATATATATATATATGCCTCTCTATATACTAGCAGACAAGAAGCAAAATGTATTCAATATCTCGATGTGCTGACAATATGACTCATAAAGTATGAAAACTTTATTCATTTATAAATACGAAATTCATAGCTCTTTTATAAAGAGTTAATAATTTACTCTTAAAATTTTATTCATAACTTCAAAAAACAAAATATTATATATATATATATATATATTTATATATATATTCATGACTGGATTAAGGTTAAAGCTGAAGATGAAGCTTTAGGTGCTCTTGGTATTGCAACATCATGTGCGCATGCTTTCGGATTTACAATATGGGTTTCATTAATTGTTTTCTAATTATGTATTGTGTTCTAATTTGCGCTTATCTCTTATACTTTAAAAAGCTGAGATCATTTATGTTACTACTAATGGAGTCAATTATGGAAAGAATGTGATTCTACGTACGTTGCCAATTTGGTTTTTTGGTGTTGTACTTGTGTGTTGACCCCGAGGTTCAATTAATCAATCGTAATCTTTGATTGTATTAATAAACAATTGATTGGGAAATTACTAACATTAATCTCAATAGACGATTAGAAGTTGTTTGGAAAAAAGTTATGTAAGTAATTAAAGCTACTCAAAGTTAATGAACAAGATATCCAAAGCTCTCAGAATCTAAAACTTGAAAATATATTATGAGCTTGAAGAAAAGAATCCCACAAAACCAATAGACCTATAGGTTTATTGTTAAACTTATTTTTAGAGTGTATGAGTTTAATTTTTAATCTTTACGCTTGATTAATATAATTATTTTACTAAAAAAGATATTAGTCAAGAAACTCATGCATTTTAAAGAGTATCTATCTCCTTTTCCGTAAGTTAAAATCTCATATGTAGTCTTGTAGTATATGTGAGACTATTTTCTTAATTTTTGTTTCAAATGATATGGCTCAATGCACATTTAGAATTACAAACTTTTAAAAAGTTGCATAAATTATTTTTAAATGTTTTCAAAAATGATGAGCAACATTTTTGACGTATAGTTTGTTCGCAAAATTACATCAAAACTGAATTATTGAAATTACATTTTAATGTGTCAAAATTGGACAAAAGGGAAGCTCTCTGACTGTACCGCACTTCTGATGCTATAAATAATTAAGATTTATATACCGTTGAAAAGTACAAACCGCACTTCTAACTGAACTATTACTTTGGAGAATGACGACGAAAGGAGTCTCAACAAACCGGTCTTCTTAATTTGTTATTTTTTTTATAAAAAAAAAACCATGGAATATGGATAGGCACTCATTCAATCTACACTTGGTAATTTATCTCCTTCCAACAAGAGAGTCAAAGAAAAATCAACCTTCGTACCTTGACGTTTGATCAATTTTTTAGAAAAACCTTTCTAAAAGTCTCTCAAATAATCTAGGGTTCAATAGGACTTAATGGCCTATTATTGGTTGTAGGTAGGGGTGTTTAAGGAATGAAATCCACGGACTAGAAATCAAGCCATAATCCAATATAAAACTACCAAATTGCCAATTTGTTATCAATCAAAAAGTTTTTCCGATCCAATTTAAATCTCTCAGATTTCATAGATTGGATTCTACGAATTTAAAAAACTTAGACCTTTAAAGTTAATAAGCATAATAAACACTCATTTTTTTCTCTATTAGAATTTAAAAATTAAAAAAAAAACCCCCTAATAAAACTCGGAAACCAATTTATTATAGCACAATCAGTTATGACAAATTAGCTTCAATAAAACTTAAATTATTGTTAATTTTGAAAAGTAATGCGGCAGATTATGACAAGCAAATAGATTAGTTTTTTTTTATTTCTTTGGATCTATTAGATATTTTTGTTTAGATTTATTTGCTTGGTCTGCCTGTAAATATTCGAAGCAGTATATTACATGAAACTTGTTTTGATAGGATTAACAATGCAGAGGAAGATGAAGTCAAAGATTAGGCATAGATTGTTGCAATTTGGGATTTGCACTAGTAGTTGGAATGTTGGATGGATGCTTATGTTTTTATTTATTGATAAATGATAATCATTTACTACCTTTGTCAATGTTAAAAGTGTTGGTGAAAAGGTTATTATGCTCCATCTGAAGCAACCTATGCTTCTTGTTTTTATTTGCAGATTTTTCAATTTGAAGTTGTATGGTGTGACGATTTGTTTGGTACCATTAAGCAAAATTAGAATTCGGAAACTGATTCTAATTGAATTTTTTTACTTTTGTTTGTTGTTTAGAAATCAAAAGTCGATCCTATTCAAAATTTTGAAAGTATTTTTCTGTCCAAAATAAGAATAATGTGTCAGATTATAAAAAAATTTGTTTCAGTATGATCCTATTTGAAATTTTGTATAAGTCTGACAGGTTATGAGTCAAAAATTTGACAGATTATATGTGATAGTTTGACAAATTATGACCCATAATCAGTAAGACTATAACCAGTGCGGGTGTAACCTGTCAAACTATAGACAGACTATGACCGGCTGTCAGTGTAACTTGTCAGACTAATCTATAGTCTGATAGACTATGGTCAGCACGAGCATAATTTGTCAGACTATGGATCATAATTGGATTATAATCATCATAGTCTGTCATGCTATGAATCATAGTCTAAGACACTATGGAGCATGGTCATCTTAGTCTTTTAGACTATGTATTATAGTCTAACAGACTATGGCCGCCACGGTCATCTTAGTCTTTCAGACTATGATACATAGTCTGACAAATTATGGCCGCTAGAGACGCCGCCGGACGGACCCTGGAAATGCCGCCTGAAAGCGGCCACCCGAAAATTGTCGGACGGCTGCGCGAAAAAGCTGTCGGATGGTTGCCGAAAAGCCGTCGGACAGCCACCGGAGTTCCGCCGTTGGTCACCGGACACACACTGGAGTTCCGCCGCCGGTAGCTAGAGACACGTCGAACGGCCACCAGAGTTCTACAGTCGGTCGTTGGAGACCCTGCCATCAACCGCTGGAGTTCCGCTGCCAACTGTTGGAGACCTCGCCGGAGCTCTGTCACCAACCGTCGATTGGAGACAGCCAACATCTTGTAAATACCTTTGAGGGTATTTTAGTAATCTACATAACAGGCCTTTGATTGGGCTTAGTCTAAAGGGGTAGAAATTAAAGGGCTAATGTTTAGGGGTTAATAATAGTTTGGTGATCCATTTTAAGGGGTAATTGTAAAAATCTCTCAATATTAAAGTTGTTGTATTTGCACCTCAAAATTTTGTAAATGCCCTCAATGATTAATACTTCTCTTATAAAGATTTAAAAAATCTATTCTTTTATAGATATTATTTTTATAATACCTAATTTAATCCTCTTATCCTCTCACTTTAATTTTAATTTATTATGATTTATACAACAATATAATCCCTTTCACGTTTCAACTATTACTATTATATTTTCTTTTGAAAATCATTATAATTTTGTCAATATTTTTGTTCCTCTTAGCTTTATTTACCAATTGCCTTGTTATAAACGTAAGAAATTTATCATGGAATGCAAGTTACAGAAGTACAAAAAATTATCTCAACAGATTAATTGTCGAGTTGGGGTGTGTGTGCGCGTGTTTTTTTTTTTTTTAATTTATACGTGTTAATATTTGCAGAAACGCACTAATTGTTTTTTACTAATTTAATTAAAATTAACTTCATCGTGTACAACAGTTCTGAGATTTTCTTACAGACCCTATTATTCTATGCTTTGAATCTAATTTGATTGTGCTATTTATCCGTTTTTAGTAATTGCTTGTTTGCATCACAAGAGCATTGAAGTTACTTGTAGGCAAAAGAAAGAGAAAAAAGAAATGTTGGGGGACGGAAACATTCACTTTAGTTGTTAATTTCTATCGTCATGTTTTTACGTGGGTGTGTGATGTTTTTATTTCTTTATAAAAGAATGCTGCTTTTATCATAGTTAATTTAATTTGAGTTATATTAGTAGGTTTTAATGTAATTTTAAAGAAGGATAAAACTATAATAAAATTAAATCATGATTTAGTAGGGACGCTAAAAAATTTAGTGGGTGTAAATATAGTCACTCTTAATATTAATATAATGTAAGTGAGAGATATTAATACCTTAAACTTAATATATAAAGTTGGAAATATTTTACAAAAATTTAAAATATTATACGGGCCGGCCCCCAAACTCTAAACCTAAGCCTGGCCCTAATACTTTTTCGGTTAATGCTAGTTACTTTCACATTTATATTAAAACAAGAAAAAAAAAGATCAAAACTAATGTTGTTTGATGTTTGACTCATTATTATTCTCCTCATAAGTGTAGTTAAGTTGTCTCTTCATATTATTTTAGGAAATATGTTTCGTCAACGGCCAACTAACCACTATTTGATCTATTACATAACCTCCAAAAATTAAAACATTTACCAAAATAATAATTAAAGTTTGGTGGCAAATTAATTTAAAAAAAAAAAAACCCTAGAGATCAAACTCTGCATCCATGTAATCTTTCAACCTTGATATGGATTAGATTACCTTGGGAACCAAGAAAATCTCAAAAGAAAGTATTAATGAATTCTTAGATTTAAAAAGTCAAAGCCTAAAATATCGGGCCTATTTGTTAATGTTTTCAAAATAATTTTGTTTTCAATACAAAAGTAAAATGAGATTATTTTGAGAATCATTTTGAGACCGATTCTAAAATTACGTTTGGTTGGTTTTTCAAGAGATTGCTTTGAATATAATAAAAAAGTGAAATCGTATTTGGTTATAATTATTAATTAATATATTATAACATTGTTGACAAGTACTGGGAAATGAAAACATAAAAAAAAAAAAAACAACTTTCAACCGTTTTTTAATTTTTTCACAAA